GGCTCCTAAATGGGGCCCCCAACGTTCCCCTTTATGGTTTCTGATATATTACCTCCAGATAATAATCAGGTTAGTTATTCTGTAAATTATAAAGTGCACGACTTGGAAGTGAGTGGCTGGAACATGACTTTTTAGGGTCAGAACCCAGATTTCTATGAAAGCTTTGGGTGAAAACAATCAACATTTGTGGAATCAATTCGTGTCTGTCCATTCTACAAATGAGTAGTATTACAAGAAGTATGAATTCTATCTGGTAGACATGACATACCGAACTCCCACATAAGTACTAACTAGCTATATATCTGACGATAGGCGATTATGGAAATGATACGTTTCGCTTCCTGCCGTTTCAAAAGCGTACAGACTTCCATAATCAAAGGTGGTAGTTGTAATGAGCTTCAGTATTTAACGGGTGAGAAAACGAAGATAATACCGGTTTAAGGGTAAAGGAAGAAGCGATATAAGCCCATCAGTCATCCTGTTACTTGATGACGTTGACAGGTTGAGGTCAGTTTAGAGACCGTCCACCGTACTAATTGTCTTTCGTCTGTGGGAGCCTGCATCCTCACGGGTTTGTGAGGTCAGTGCCTAAGCCTCATAAATCATCCTGATACCTACCACAGTGATGAAAATTACAGGTTGAGGTCACTTTATTTGTCCTTCGTCCTGTTTATTCTTAATCCAGCTATTCTCGATTTAGTTTGGTGGATGGCCTGATTTTAGAAGAAGAAGAAGAAGAAGAAGAAGACGAAGAAGAAAATGCGATCATTGGAACAAGAGTTTTATTTGCCTTGCGTATCGGATTCCCTCGGGAATTCTTAATCATCGGTGATGATAGGAAACGCATGGTCATGCGCAGATGGGGTAGCAGTTTGGAACCGTTCTCGCCCATGAACTCAAAGCACTTCTCCTTATCTTCGTCGATCCTCTGACAGTACTTGCGAAGCCTCGCGTGACAGCCTTGAAGGATCACTCGGATCATATCTCTGCCCTGCTTCAATTCTTTGCGTCTCGCCAACTCTGTATTAACCGGAGGTCTGTACGAAACACACTTAGGTAACACATTATTGTCGAGACACCTGTGGAGGAATCGGATCTGCGCCTAAGTAGACGACTCCCGAAACTCAAATGTTTCCCACCGTCGAGCCTGATTTTACTTTAGCTCATTCACAGAGATGGCAGTCGAATCATCCTATTTTCTTTAGAAATTGGAATAGATAAGACTATGCTCAGACTCAGCTTTTTTGTATGCTATAGAGCATTCCACGTGCAAACCATGGTGACGGTGAAATCGAATTCAGTGCACCAAAAAGAGCAGGGATAGAAAAAATAAGGAGAAACGGTGATGGACGTCAAAGGTGTATGAAATCTGAAAAGGGACGGCTTTTATATAAACAGCTTGGCTTTCTAAAGCGAAGAGTAAAACGGCGCATAGGCATATATGTGAAATTTATCAACAAATGTTTTCATCTCTAAGACGATCACTGCAGGCATCTAAATATAAAAAGTGCAGAGAAACCATTTTTGAGACATTTGAATCTCCAGTTTAAGACGAATATCCCTAAAACCCTACCAAAACCGACATTAAAGGCAAGCATTAACAACTGAATGCAACCAATCGTTAATGGCATCTTTAAATCCTAGAATTATGTAGGATGTGAAGTGATATGAAACTAGTGCGGAGACATGGGTGGAGAGATGTTATATTGTGAAGGGTTTATGGCGCTGCATATTAACCAACACTCAGTGAGCACAACGTTCTCACTTTATCTGGCCACGGCCTTTAAATCCTACCCGTTTAAACGTGTGCCGGGTTTTTTTATTTGGCTTTTTATGAGTGCATTTTCGATTATAATTGCATAGGTCTAATTAGGCACCCCGATGATTTAAACATTGGCAAAGTGGTAGATATCTTCTTAATCACCTACTTTCCCTATAGCGAATAGCTCTTGGAACGTAGTGAGTTTGGTCACTTATTTTCCTAAGTGCATGAAATAGAGCAACAAAATATGAACACAATATGTACTGTAAAAGCTGTTACCGGTTATTGCTCAGAAATAAATATAATGTCATAGTTTGAAACTTACTTGATCACACACTGGCTTCTAAAAATTGAATATAATAGGAAAAACATTGTGTTTAAACATTTCAAAATAAATATTATCCTTTGCATTTCGACAAAATGTAATTTCCTCAAGAAATTACTCATACAGTGACAAATATCTTGTAAAATGTCACAGGCTGCTCTGTCAGGAATTAATTATTGAAAGTGTTAAGTGGGCGGTTTTCAAAATAAGTCTACAACAATTAAAAGCAAAGTTTTCTGCTTATCCGTAATTTTCCTTTCAAAGGCAATGCAATTCATTGCCATCGGTGGCATATGCGTTTATTCAGAAACAGTTTCATTCAGATTGTAAATTTCCAGTACACGCCAACTGGGTATGGCAACTGCAAGCCGCCTATGTTTTCTGGGCCTTGAAACTCGATGTTATGCTAAAAATTCATAGCGCGCGATCAAAAAGTGTACAGTATCGAATATAAGATATTACCTAAACTGTCTTGTATTCACTGGCCCCACAAACGCTCATCGCATCATAAATATCTTAGGGTGACATGCATTGGAATCTAGAATAGAATAACTCGAATTGATAAACTGTAGTACATTAGCTCAGTTAATTTAAGAAATGCAAGGATTTTTACAAAAAAATGTTTTTAAAACGTCGTAATATAATGGTCGTTCTACAAGAAAAGGTATATGGCCCCTTATTAAGTAATATAACTTTGTATAAAAATATCAGCATTTTAAGAAAATTGGGAAAACGGAATGCGTGGAACTCGGGCTTGCTACGTAAACTACATGTTAAAATTTAGAAAAAAACATGTTCATGTGGAAAGAAATGGTTAATTAAGCAACGCAATTAACATTTTCTTGTAAAGTCTTCCGATATATATGTATATATATGCTTTCGTGTTATGCGGAATGTAACGTATGGTTTTTACCGAACGGCCTACGTTTCGGATATATATTCCACAGTGGTTTCACGAGACTTGCCAGTTATTTATTTGGTTTACAACTTGTTAGAATTACGTTGGATTAACACAACCATATTTTCCCTCGATTGCGCTAATTGGAAGGTCACAATAGTAAGATAGTTCCTGATCTCCCTTGCGGAAATGCTGGCCAGTGACATAAAACTAAAAATTGAATCGTTGGGCACAATCGTAATAATTCCCTTTTTTGCTAACTAAGGTAACGTTTCTTGAAATGGTGGTTATCACTTTACGAATTTCAGTGGTTTCCTTTGCTCGTCCATAAATAATGTTAGGAAGGCCCAACACTCGCGGTATTCTCGAAGCAGGATAACAAAGAGGGAATACGCGAGACTGACGATGGCCACATTCTGAGGTCACGCATGTGCATGGCCCACAAAATGACGCATGCACGTGGGCGCCTCACCAAGGGCGCGACCGGTCACCTGTGGACACGATGAATGGAGGCATGACGGTTGCCTGTAGAGGCCACCAGTGGAGAGCCAATAGTGAAAAATTACTACCGGCCCTTAAACAATCTGCCACTGCTGAAGTCGGTACTGTGATGCTGGAGACACGCTTCTGCCGACCCGAGCCTCTGCTGCTGGTGACACGGAACGCTGTTGGCCGAGACGAAGACAGAAAACAAGCTGCTGACGGAAACACAAGACAAGCTGCTGGACACCCAGGAAACAGAGCTGATGTACTAGTAGAACTGACAGTAAAGTACTATCTGTTATGCTGTTCTGCCTTCTCTTCTGAACACGTAACTGGTGGAAATAACCGGCGTTGACACAGGAACGTACTCGGTTATAACAGTGGCAACGGAGGTGAGATCATTTCATACACAGGTGATCAATGCAGACACAAAGTTATATCAGTGCCAACGCAGGTGAGATCAACCAAGGTTATAACATTGGCTACGCAGGTGACCTCCACCAGGTTTATGACAAATAACGATTATGTTCTATGGGCTTACTTAAACCTTCAAAATATATTTTTACTTACCGTGTTTATTTTAATTGTGAGTTTCTTAACATTCTTTATAAGGCCCCTCGCGGTTTCGGCCATAGTATTGGAACCACCCAAAATTTTCAACTCATTACTGAGAAAAATTAACTTCCGCAAATAGATAACTATGACCATTTCTTGACTTCTGTGATTTTCCTAAGGAGTAGCCCTTCAGTGAATGATGAAATTACCTATGTTTGCATACTAAGGACCGCAGAATACGATTTTTAATGTAAGACCCATTTCTCGGATTGTTAAAGCACAACGGCGTGACAGAATAAAGAACGCTTTTGCGTTAACTGCGAAACTTCTGCCGGTTCCGCTTACACTTTCCCTATTCTTGCATAGTGAACTGCAGATGAAAAATATTTAGACACCTTGACATAATGCTTAAGAATAAAGCGTAACGACATGTTCCTCGTGTTTCGTTTCGGGATTATAAAATACATTAGAGTCCTTGAGTTTATTACTACGTTTTATGGCAGAAAACTTAGCAGATTGGCAAAATGGAATATTGTAAAATTGATTCGCACTTATTTTACCGACAGTTATGCGTTATCGAACACTTGCGGTTTGCCCAATTTCATGAACGCGTAACACCATTCTATTTTCTCTAAACACCATATTACGAGTGTTCATTTATAATGGAACACGCAAGAAATGCAACTCTTGGTCCGTAGCGTTTATTAGCACTGGAAATGCCTTTGATAGCAAAAACAAGTTCGACGTGGCCAGCGTTGATCAAGTAGTCCTTTGCATGTATTAATCTAAACTGCGGTTCTTCCTAGTAAACAGCATTTTGCGACTCAAGTCTTTTCAACGAACACAATAAACAACCTCAAAAACTTGTTAAATTACGCAGTCAAATTAATATCTCAAACCTTCGGCCCATATACTGTACATGGATACGATAGGGTCTCCTTACATCGTGAAAGGTAAATGACAGTGCAGTTGTACGAGAACGTAGGAAAAACGCCAGGCATTTGGTTATACAAAGTTTAAGCAAGTTATATGTTGTGGGACTCGCGTACAATCGTGGTCAGACAAAACGTGGACATAAATTTTATATTATATGAAGAATCTTACAATTAACCATTTATTAATTTTGATTTCCTACAAACGGAATGGTATTAAATTCGTTCACTGATTGCGCTTGGGTGATTCAAACAGCACGAACAACTTTACAAAATGTCATGTTAAATTGTGTCCGGACAATCCGCGGAGATGAGTAGAATATTATAGTACGAAACCTACCTTATGAGGGAATTCTCCCTACAGATGGAATTCAGTACGCCATAAATCGTAAAGAGCATTTTAAAGCATGCATTATGCTTTTTGAAATTGACAGAACTAATATCACTTAAAACTGTAATCATAACGGCCAAATAGAAGCCAGAACGGCTAAAGTCGCTTTGTTGCAGGCTGATCTGTGAATCTATTAGCAGAACGTTTGCTGTAAGGAGTCTGAAGCATTCCCAGTGATGGTGTTTTGTGGATCTGCAATTTGCATTTCAAAAAAGTAAGCGCTGTTTTTGAAACTGCACACGTACATTTGTTATTCAGATAAATACTCATTCAGCTTATAAATTTTGAATGCCAGATATGTGAGCAGACCACTTGGATGCAACATATATACTCTTAGATTTGACGTTCGAATTAACTAGGAAGTGGCATTATGGGCGATCAACTAACTAATAAGTATCGCGTTCTACAAATCAAATGAAACTCTCTCGTGATCCACGGCTCATGGAGTGCTCGCCATATCATCAAAAGCTTTGAATGATGCATGGCGTGCAGTTGGATGCAGCTAGCTCAAGTTCACATGGAAACGTACACAGATATGGTGGAGACTTGCTACATTGCAAAAAGCACATGAAACTGTAATAGTACGGACCTGCATGAATCTATGTGGTCTTAAAGTGTGCGAACATAGTGAAACAAACATGTGTGTCTAAAAATGCAGCAAATGTCTTTGCTTAGCGTTTCGCTTAGGTTGGCATTTTCTAGGAGTTGCACCTGAACAGAGTTTTCCATCTCAATCATAATAATTTCTGGAGACATTGAAATGGTTTTGTCTTAGTTCTGCTTCAGCTAGTTTGCTTATATTGCACATTTCTTCACATGTGGAAACCTTTTGGGAGCAAATTTGATCGCTGATTACCATCGCTGGACGGAACACAGCAGCAAAATTAAATAAAACGTCACATGTAAAATTGTGCCTTGGAAAAGCGTAGTTATTCATTTAATATTAAAATATGAAACATACCGTAATAAGTGCTCTCTACAAATGGATTGTGGTATGCAATAACTTGATTAGAACACTTAAAATACGTATTTGTATTTTGGACGTCGGCATGACAGTGACTCAACCAAGACTGAATTCGAAAATGCCAAAAAGCCTGTAGACTGTTTGCCGTCCCAGAAACCGAACATTTAAACTATAAGACCAGACACACGAACGCTCTTCTTATGTAATTTAGTGGTTGAAGCTTGGAATCCTCCGCCGCTGGATGTTGCTATCTCAGTATCCTTTGAAATCTTGAAATCTTGCTTATACTTACTAACATACGCTTTATATACGAATTGCAAATATCACCTCCAACCAACCTTGTGGTACTAGGCTACGCCACCCTGTAAAGTTCTTTCTAATGGCCGTACATAACCAACCGCTGTGGATCGTGGTGGGGCCCTCTATTTCGTCACCTGCTAGGCAGACGCGCTTACCAACAAGAGCGTAAAGGTGGGCGCACCTACGACACTCGGTGACGTTCTCGTGACTGCGATCTTTTCCTCGTGCGACCCTTAGGAATATGATAAAAACCATGATGGACTCCCCCTGGCATGCTTCAAACACTCTCAGCACAGGCATCCACGGGCATCCACGGGCGACAGTTTTTCTCCTTAAAATCCCTCAAGTGGCATTCAAACCCCTAGCATTTCCGAACAAAGCCTAAGGAGTTTTTTTTCACTGTCAGCCCTTTTTACCCAGTTCCATTTACTGGCAACGCCACTCTTGAGAAATGTTCTGCTGAACCACAACATGCATAGCTATTCTGTAAGTAATGGGGAGTTCAAAGGTATCTACCTACATTTCCCTTGATAAAACCTGACCTGATCCGTATCGTGTTCCACGGTGAAATGATCTTTCATGGCATCCTCAAAATCTTGAGAAGATGCATGCTGTATGCAAGAAAAAACTTGCTTTAAACGAAAGAGAAAACAACACAAATATTGCGGAACCATACGACAGGGAGAAGTTTACATGGCAGTGCAATTATACAAACACACATTTGCACTCGTCAGCCAGTCATACCCAAACACCTGTGGCCTTTTACCCGGCGGTTGAATCAGCAAACAGTTATCGTAGTATGCCAGCGCTGCAACCATCGAACCACGGGCACGTCGCCAGGCCGGTTTCGATCAATAATATACACATTGTCAGATAGTCGCTCGGCGATTGTTTACAGGACTCACTCGTCCGTCACTGTCTTCCAGCTCACTGTCGAGTCCCGTCGAACAGCGGCTAATTGTATAGACGGTAGGAAATAACCAACAAGACGAAAGAGCCTACTAGGGTCATTTCTGGCTCATTAGACATCATTAACCAGTCATATTCAAACGTATGCACTGCACCACCCGATGTGCAAACCCGGAACCCTGTAAGAGAGTAGCCTACCGATCTACCCAGTGCGCGACGGTTTCCCTTCCCTGCCACTTTCTCTCAGGAATAAACACAGTGAAAGATTGTCCCTTGGCGATCAGCTGCATAGCCCACGCGTTCCTTTGCGCCTTTGACCCCCACCGTGCATGTGTGGGATAAAAACGTCATCACACTCCTCAAATTTATAACTTTCACCTTTCTTAAGACGATCATTGTGCGTTAAGAGTCGCTGCTTGGCAGATTGCCAACTAGTGGTACAGTTTGC